GATTATTATGCCTAAAAAAGAATTATATAATAAGGATATATATATATATATACTGTGTGTGTGTGTGTGTATATATATATATATATATATATATATATATATATATATATTATAAGGAATCAAAAATGAATCACATAAGGAGGAAGGGCAATAATTAAAATAAAATATATATGAAGTCTAAAAGAGTATAGCAACATTATTGACCAAAATATTGCTTGAATTATATTAACATATGTCAGCTGGTAGAACTGATACACTTAACTGCTTCTTGTATAGTATGTTTCATATAAAATAAATGTATAAATGTAAAATGCTTTGTTGCTATGGAGTAATATATTTCTAGTGTACCAACAGTAGAAGTGCAAAACATTACAGTTGCTGTGTTGTCTGTTTTACTCCTGGCTCGAAGCCCAGAGCCATGTTTTTGTAACATCTGCCCCAAAAATTAGTGGGGTACAGATTTGGCACTTATGTGCAGGTGTAATTGTTATTATAATGTGGTTTGTAGGTTTGGAAATGGAGAACACTTTTAGCTTGTCCCTTAATCTGGGGTAACTACAGGGGGAAGGCCGTATTGAGATTTGGAAGAGATTTACAACAAATGCCCTTTCTAACCTGGAAATTCAGGACTAGGTGCTAGTGAACCCAGAGCCTCCAGAGTTTTACCACTACACCAGCCTTGTTGAGTTTTGTTATAATACGCCTAGGTATGACAAAAAAAACCACCAAGCCATTAGTTTGTTTTTCTGTGCTGTTGTGTAAACACTCTGTGTGTGGCCCTTTAAAAGGCATCTCTGGTAAATTCGTCTGCGTTCTACCACATGACTCTGTGACATACTGTACCGATCCCTGGAACCCACCCCTGGTTAACCCAACCCAACAACCCTGAACTCTACACCCCACAGTGATGTGTCATTCCAGTAAGTTAACAATACGGCCGCCATATTGAGGGAGGTTAAAGCACAGTACGGGTCGGTAGGCATGCGTCAATGGTAGGGTGGTGTGGGGGGAGGCGTCGGAGGAAGGTGGAGCGGTCGGGTGAATTAAAGGCCTGGGTAAGTGGGCGGAAAGCCTACACTGGGGTGATTGAGTTCATAGTGAGCAATGTGAGAGATGCCACCAAGATACCCTATGTGGTCACCCATGTTATGTGTCAGACTGCAGGCTGCCTACTATATGGGTGCAAGACGCATGAAACACACTTGTTGCTCTTGCAGCAGAGTCCCTTAAGCTTTTGTTCTTTGTTGATTTGTGTGCATGTGAAACAGGGGCCGGCTCTTCCTTCCAAACAAAAGAAGCCAATGGACATCAGAGTTCATTGGTTAATCATTAAGCCAGGTTGACAAAGAAGAGTTTGTCAAAACTGTCTCTGACTATTACTGTTGTCTCAGACAATAAGGCAGCTTTAATAATTATGACAGAAACCTGTCCTGGGTATGACCTGCAGGCCATGACAGGACATGTTAGAATTCTTAAGAGCTGAGCTGGTGCCTTAGGTCTTTGATTTTCTTTTTTTACAATTGCCATTGATTGATAACTATATTCACATAGTTTGTGAGACTGATAATGTGTGTTTGAAGCTACACCTGTAAAAAAAAATTGTAAAGAACATAAAGTACTGTTATTTGGAGACTTTTGGATTTTGGGTGCGTGCAAGGAATATTAACCAGACGTTTTTCCCCATGTGTTAAAATGTCAAAAAAAAAAAAAAAAATCCCTAAAGTCCAAGTTTCTTTCAGAATTCTTTCTTACAAAGTAAAATAGAATTAAGATGTTTTGTTTTCCATGAAGGGAGAGTGAGCCTGGTTGAACCCAGGGAGGGCTGTGACCAGGGCCACCAATAATTTTGAAGAAGAGAAGAAAATAGGGGGTGAGGCTTTGGAGGGGAGAAGGCGCAGAAGACGTGAGTGCTGCTTGATCAAAGGCTTTGAGAATTGTGTCACAGACAGACGGAGAAGAATAGCATTGGATGGTGTGTCTTGCATTTTGATTTCCTTTGAGAGCCGGGAGGTAGGAGGGGGACAGAAAGGTCAGAGGGGGAGTCGGTGGTGGCTGCTTTCAGGAGTGGGGCTCTGTTTTCATCTCATTTAATGTTGTCAGGACACATGTTTTAGAGGAAATGGCAGTTTAGGAATAGTAGATTTGTAAAAGAAAATGTAATTTTTTTCAAATCTGGTTTTATTTTATGATATATTTTAGTTTCTTTATTCGTACCACAGTGGGGAAATTCACATTTATACTATTTACTTACAAAAGTTAGTAATTCTATCAATAAATTATACCATAGTTTAAAATGTGTTAAATCAGTTTTGGGACACAGCATCTCAACACATCTTTGGGCGCTCAGCACTGATATATACCGTGTGACGTCAACACTTGCCTGTTGCCATGATTACCAACTCAACCAAAAGTTGCTGTTCGAATGTGAGATGCAGTCTGCTTGTCTTGGTTCTTGTGCTGCAGGTGATTTGACCGTGAGGGTAGGGGGTCGGCCAGAGGTTTGGCCAAGTTGAGTGGCAGGTGGAGTTCAAATCTGCAGCCGGATTTTGAGTGGGGCCTGCGTAACAGGATACTCATGTGAAAGTCCGTCTCCCCCAGGGGTAAAACAAGAGCCGCCCCCTCAGAGCACTTTGTGGGCACCCATTGCCCAAAAACTATGGGTATGGAGGAGCAGGGCAAAGTGGAGTAATTGGGTGTTTCCAGTGAGTTGAGCTTGTGTGATATGGGGCCCAGTAGGGACCTAGCAGTTAGAGGGTACAGACACACATGAGACCCACTTCACCTATTAGGGTCATGTTCATTCTAAAGCCCTTTCTCTTTTCACTCTCCCTTCTGTGAACCATCAACGTCTACATTCGTATCTGAAAAAAATTATAACATCCTTGTAGTGGAAATAACACAGAAATGTCTTTCCTCTGAAAAAAACATTTGTCCGTAACAACAACACTGTCTGATTTGGGAGTGCAAGAGCCTCAGGACAATGGCCCAGTGTTTAGAACCTAGGGTGCAGGCGGGGCTCCCTGCTGCCATCCAAGCTGTTAAACAAGAAGCACAGAGAGGTGATAATCACTCGGAGCACTTCACATCATGGTCCTCATTAGGACCGACTCAGACCTGAGGAAAGGTTCGGATCGTTTCACACACCTTTACCTGCGTAGTCACGTCCCACTGTGGTCATTTGTGGTCACTGCCCTGGTTCATGTGGCACGAATTGAAATTCTGATTCTTGTTAGTACCAAGGTTTTCAAGATGGTCTCAAGCAGAGATCAAGAGTCCATGGTCATCTGAAGCCGGTCTGTTAGATGTGGGTGACCTGGACATGGGATGTGGCCCATGGGTCACGTGCCAATAAAGATGTCAAAAATCAATGTTGTGGTTATTAAAGGTGGCTGTTGCTCAATGTGTTCTGAAGTTGTCTTACAACCAACACAGTGGGCTGTGGGATCAATTGGAAGTTTGGGAGTTGATATCGCCCCCTAGAGCTTTGTGGGCAGTGTGTAGAAGGCAAGACCCTTTAGTGTCCAGCATTTTGAGTGGCCGTCAGCACAACTGAAGATATTAATTATTTACTGTAATTTACAAAAAAAGATTAAAGCATATGTTTCATTTTTCCCATTTCTGTCCATCTATACTTATGTACTGGTTCATGTAGTTCATACTCTTAGTGATATCCTAGTCCATCTGTTTTTTTGACCCCCTTGTTCTCAGCTTAGTCCTCCTGATAAACCCCTTAGGTCAGGGGCTTGACCTAAGGGGTTTATCAGGAGGACTAACCTTGCACTGTAGTGAGTAGTCACCTTCTGACGCCCCACCCCCCCAATTGGCCGGCCGCACAGCTAACTTGCTCCCTAAGTAACATGAAGTGGGGTTCAAAGGTCAGGGGTCGCCAGAGGAGGGACGATATCTTGGGTCATCAGCAGCACCCCAGAGGCTAATGTGACCAAGGGCTTGGCGTCACAGTTCTGGCTGATCGGGGTGTTGTGGTCATTGGGTTAATAGGATAAGTGACCTGAGGGTCAGTTTGGTCCAGTTCTAATGCTAATACAGGATCTTGTCATCGCTCTGTTGCCTCAGTTGGGGCAGGATCTTGGAATATTTCTTCTTTTTTTTTAAATCTCCACATGATACAGTTTAAATCAAGTCTTGTTTGAATGAGCTTTGTTTTATTATTGGCCAACGCTAGGTTTTGCTTTTAGTTTTTGTTGGCTTCTTGGGGTTTGATGATAGGTTCTAATATCTGAATATGATTACTGAGGTTTTATGATAAGATGGGATTAATTGTGTTTTGTAGCTCTAACTGTTAGCCAATCCTCCAACAATTGTCCACGATTAGCAATAAAATGTGTCCAAACAAAGTAAAATATATGATTTTGTACCACGGAGTCTGCCACCACTTGTTTTAAATTTCTTTAAAGATGCTCAGTCGTTCTGAATCAATTTGATTTCATGCCTTGTGTAAATTCTACAAAACTAATATTTTTTTTATTAATCGATGCAGACTGATCTGTGTGTACACCAGGTTAAACACATATTTTGGTTTCTATAAATGAATTAAAAAATGGCAGCAACATGGTATCTGACAAAATGCTTTCTTCCTGCTGCCGTTTAGAACTCGGCTTTGTTGGCACATCAAGTACCAGATGCCCAGGTTTGTTTATCTGGCGGTGCTAGTTGAGGAGTCAGGTGGGAGGCTGTGCTGTATGTTTTTTTTTTTTTTAGATCCTTACCAACTCTTCAGGGATCCATTGTGCTCCTGAGCTCATATGTTTCATCATAAAAAAAACAAAACAAAAAAAAAAAACAGAGAGGTGGCAAACAGATGACGAATTCTCGTACACAGCTGGTCCTAATCTTCTCTTTGATGTCTCATCCCCCCGCATTTCAGCGCACGTGTTTTAAATATTTCTTGAATTTTACAAGAAAGAGTTCATGGCAAGGTTTCCACATGTTCATTTTACTGTCTTTGATTTTAATACCTATAACTTCTGTTTCCCTTCCAGATGCATCCACTGGGACTATGCAATAACAATGATGAGGAAGACCTGTACGAGTATGGCTGGGTCGGAGTAGTGAAGCTGGAGCAACCTGAGCTGGACCCCAGTTGTCTTACTGTTCTTGGAAAGGTAAAGAGCTGGATGTTTTATCGCCGTTTACGTAACCTGGTCTTTGTAGAACACCTACTCTCTGTTTTCTGTCTTTTATTTTTGCTCTTTTTCTTTCTTTTTTTTCTGCCTCAGTCGTGTTTATATAACCTGGAAAGGCTATAATGTTGTTTTGCTAGTCCTTACTAATAGGTTAGAATATAGTGATACATTTTCTATTTAAAACGAACTCCTCTCTAAGTTATTAAATGCATTGTTGAACCACATTTTTCTGAGTGAGTAAGGCCCAACTCAATTGCTTCCTTGTCTTTCACCAGCCCCTTTTCTTTGTCCTCCTGCCCGCCCCCTCCTTCACTTACTTCTTCCCCCTTTCTGTGCCCAGACCCCTCTGGAGTCTCCAAGTGGCATTTTATCGTGGTTTAATTAAGTGTTCCTCATAATGGAATGTACCAACATTCCCTGGAGGACGAGGAAAAGGGAGGGCTGGCCATAGTCCCATTTATCCTGTGCAAGGCTGGTGACAGAAAGAGAGCAGCCATTCATAATTTAAGGAGCTCTGGTAGTGCAAAGACATGCTTATAGTGTACTTTCTTTTTTGGTGAATGCTGCTGCTGCTGCTGCCTTGCTGATGCACATGCATGCAGAAAATCTGGCCAGATGTAAGTCAGGTGGTGCCCACACTTTTTTTTGTGCTCACAAGCTACTTTTACAACAACCAGGTCAGTCATTTAAAATGTGGTAAATACTAAATTAAAATATATATTCATTCATATAAAATGAATATTATTTTAGTTTTATGTTAGAACTCTTGCACGTACAGCAGTGAAATGTGTTGCAACTTTGTTTGTTTTTTTTGAGTGAAGATGACCAGAACTTTGATCCTTTCATTGGTACAGGGTGACCTGCAAACAGGTCACTCTGTACAGTGATTTTTACTCCTGTCCAATCAGCTTACTCCGTGAGTTTCCAGATCTTGGCCCAGGCCTATTGATCTGCCCTCTTTTACACTCCTACTCCTCCAGTGGTTATCTGGTCTGATGCTAATAGAGTTAGATCTCTTTAGGTTTCTAGATAAGAACCCTAGATAATGCTAGATAATTTGATATCTTGTAGTGAAATGTCTCGTTTTGGTTTTTGTTGTCATGTTCCGATGATTAACTTCTCCATTGAAATGGCCCTTTTGCTGTAACTGTTCGCTCTCATATGCTCACTCTGTAATCCATGAATGCACTTGATTGCATCACACACTGATGACACCGACACGTACGATTTTAACAAGGACAAGTATTTGTTTGCAGTGAAAATAAACCTGCCTTACCTCAGAGAGATAACGAGAAACTCAAAAACGATTTCACTGCTGTTGCCCATGGTCACAGTACGGGTGGTTAGTTGCTGAAATATTGGTCCAAATGCATGTTGAGTTCTGAAACATAACCCACCTACTTAAAAATACTAAAACTGCTTACTAGAAAAAAAATCTTTAATAACAGCTCAGCATCTCTACTGCCTACTTCTGGCAATAATTGCCAGGAGCGAGCGCAAAAGTGAGACAAATGAGAAAATATAGACGTCTGCATCACTGCAGATGAGCACATCACCATATTATTTTTCCATCCATCCATCCATTTTCATCCGCTTATCCGTTACTGGGTCGCGGGGGCAACAGTTGCTACCCAAATCACATTGCACCGTATCAACCCCCCAAACCTTCCTGCGGGTGGTGAGTCCACTGGAAAGTACCAACCGCCCTAACCAGGATTCGAACTTGCCCAGGAGGTGAACCCTGGGGTTCCAAACCAATGACAGAGACATTGCCTCTGGGCCAAAGCGCCACTACCATATTATTTTTTGTGACCTATTGAAAAATGAACAACAGAGATGATTTCATTTGATTATTAGGTCTATTAAAATGCAAAGGAATTAATCCGTGCAACAAAACAAACTTTGGTCCATTGTCCAGTTGCCTGGACGTCAGCACATATTAGCTGTATAGGAAGACGAGGAAGAGAGGTCGGTCAAACCGGCCTCAGAAGTCCACGTGTGATCTCCACCAGAGTGCGTGTGTGTCACAGATATATGTGCACTGTTTTTTCCTGCTTTTCCTGTCTGGTTCCTGCGAGTGCCACAGGACTTTTAAACCCCTAACCCCTTTTGTGCCACAGCAGCAGCTCTTGCCCCCGAGAGAAGGAAAGCAAGAGTAAATCAGAACCTACTGTAGCCAACTGTGTGTGAGGAATCCTTTGAAGTGGTTTCGTTGTCTGACTTATGGTGTCAAATACAGATGACACTGCAAGGTGCCCCGGTGCTAGTAGAACACAGCTGCCTGTGGTTGCCTCTCTAATGTTACAACTTATCAGGTCTCTGCTTTCTCAGAAGCGTTGGTAAATGTTGTAAATCATGCTCGCGCCTCCGTGCACATCCGTTCTTGAGTTGAACTATTTATTGCCATCAATAACAAAAAAATTCCTGGTTGTAATTTCCTCCCCCGATGCTGGACTTTCTTAGAACTGACCTTCATCTCTGCAGTCTGTCCCACAAACATACATGGAGTTTCTTGGCAGCGTCTCTGGAACATGAAATCATGCCACTGGCTTTCCGGCTAGTAGAGATCTTTGTCACGTTGCCAGTAAGATATCTCCTCTTTCAAGCACCGCGGTGTCAGTCCAGTGGGCACATGGGGTCTAAGCCCACTGGCTTTTCCCCTTTTCATCTCGCAGGCACTCTCATGACATCAGCCCCTGACCCCCGGGGAGGTGCAGTGGTCAGTCTAACTGCTACTCTTGGCACGGTGTACATGCAGGGGAAGGCCACACTACATTTATTAACCAATGAAAAGTATACAGTGGAACCTCGAGATACGAACATAATCTATTCCAGGACCTCGTAACTCGAGGTGCTCGTATCTCAAATCATGTTTTCACATAAGAAAGAACAGAAAAAAAAATTAAATGTTCTGACCGCTTATTAGTGCTAAGAACAATGGAAAAAACATGTTTTTAATTGCTATAGAGACACACACACAAACAAATACATAGTATATAAGGATTCCTGTTATATAAAATAAAATGTGGTTTTAATTATGAGTTCTTACCTTCGAGACAGGCCATACAGTAGTGGCTAATGGACGCATGCGCTACATACAGAAGCGATTGACATTTTTCCCATTTTTTATATGCACCATTTAAAAATTAAATCATAGACACAAAGGTCAGCTCTTCATTGTTACTATTGACAGGTTTTCATTCACGTTCCTCGAGCTACGTCCTGCAAATATGTCTCTCACACTTACACAGCTTAATTCACCTATTATAGAAGATGATCACAGAGTAGTAACGATCGGGGAGGAAACAGATACAACAGATGTATGTGTCCAGTGTGTCTGGTCAGGTCAGTGGAAGGCTAGGTGTGCTTCTGCTACTTCCATTCTCCCCCCAAAATGACAAGCATAAAAATACAGCTCTTCAGCTAAAGCTTCTTGGCTGGCATAGCGTGTAAAACTTCCTGGTATGTGCTTCTTGTGTGCGGCCTGGCACTGCCTTTAGCCAGGTCGTCTCTGAACTACAATCAGTTCCACCTCAGACACCAGCCAAAGACAACATTTTATTGCAGCGGTGCATAACTTCCTTGGGCCTGGCTTTGCCGAGCCGCTTATAAATAACTGGAGAAAAAAAACAAAAACAAAAAAAAAAAACAGACTGAGATCTTTATTAACATGACATATCCTTTTTAGAAATAAATAAATGATTTTTTTTTTTTTTGTACAGACATATAATCATTAAAGTGTATCCTGTGTGGGAAGATTAGTCACAGTTGCCAAGAAACAATGTGAGTGGGCAGGGGAGTGTGTCTTTTTCTCCCATGGCTCTCAAGTTGGCACTGAGGGAAGAGCAGGCCAGAGCAAACAGCTGCTGCGTCTTAGTGCTAAGTGGCTTTTGGACTCCAACCGTGTCTGGCATGTCAGCCAGGGCTACAGAGAGGGCGTTGTGTGTGTGTGTGTGTGTGTGAATGTGTGTGTATATAAGAGAGAGTGGGTGAGGTGTGTGTGTGTGTGGGGGGGGGGGGATAGGGCTAAACAAATGTGTCTGAAGAAGAAAAATAGAGAGAGAGAGAGAGGGAGAGATACTGTAGATAGAGAGAGGCAAAGTACCTTTAAAGAGAAAGAAAAGGCAACAGACAGATGAGTGTGATATTGGGGGTGAGTGGCGGGCGAGGCTGCGGCCAGGATAGCCGTCCTACACACTCAGGTGTGTGCTAGAGTTCGTCCTGAGGCCACAGCAGTACCAGTGAGGTGTCATGTGCCAGGGCTTGTTGTAAAAAAAAAAAAAAAAAAAAAAAAAAAAAAAGATTCAGTGCCGACCTGAACTTGGCTGCCTTTTTCAGACCACATCTATTGCAGCGCAGGACAATGTTGTCTAATGAGCAGGAGGATTCCCATTGGCAGGAGAGCTCGTCCGTCTTCTATGCTGTCGGGTTTAAAGACGGCAGATGAGCCTGTGTTTTTCTGAAAGTTGCCGAACGGGTTGCTGTGTCACCGGCGTGCATTATTCCCACTTTTTCAAAGTTGGGAGCGGAAGCGGCCGAGGAAAAGGAAACACAGTTCTACTCGCTGTTGTCCGGACGGTGTTTTGTTAAATTGCAGCGAAGTCGCACCATAGTGATTGATTTACAGCTGCAGCTTTGGTTAAAATTTACTGAAGTCACCCCCCCCCCCTTCCCTCTCTCTACCCTCCCAATCCTCATTCTTCATCTTATTGATGAAGAATATTGATAAGGCAGTTTCCCTCTGTGCCTGTTTCAAATACGATTTTCTCATCTTCTTGATGGTCAACGCTGGCTCGCACCCCGGGTGATGTCCAGCTTTAAGACTTCACAAACAGTATCATAAACACCTCAGCGTGATAGGAGGGTCAGACAGAGGAGCTGCAAAAGAAAAAGAGGAGGAGGAGGAGGGAGGAGGAGGAGTAGAGTGGAGAGAAGAAAGAAAGCGGAGAGAAAAAAAAAAGCTGATGAAGTGCGTGGCA